AAGTGCTCGCAATTAGTGGTGCCGCATTAGATTTTTTTTTTTTTTACGGGTAATATGGTTTTGTTTACTATTTTTTCATGCTTAGTTTCTTTTTCATATATTATAAAGTATAAAAATTCGTATATATGCGGGTCCTAAATCTAGTATGTTATAAGATTTGTAAACTTGACAAAACTTTTAAATATTAGTTTAGAAAATATTTATAAATATGTTTTATAAATCTGTATAAATTTGAGGCGTTGATAGGTAACCACTGCGTAATTGCGGAATAGCGAAAAAACGCAATTGCGCAGGTTTTTTACCAATAAAAAATTTGTAGAATACCAAAAAAAATCTATTATATAATGAGGCTCTTTTCTCTCCATTGAGGCTATCCACATCAGCGAAATTGTGCATCACCCTGGGTCCCACTTTTAATACCAATCGTGTGCAAATCTTCACACAGATGAAAAAATCTTCACACAGATGAAGAAAAATGTGCATKAAAAAGAAACCCACTTTTAATACCAATCTTCAAAARTGCTAACATATTGGCCCATATAATCGATTATATAAGGCCCAATCTAATACACCAAATCTGGCCCTCTCTTCATCAATCTCCTTCGCTTCTTCAATCCACCCGACGACGACTCTAGAAACCCTATTACGATCTCAATCATCAGCCGTTACCTCTCTTCATCAATCTCCTTCGCGTCTTCAATCATCAGCCGTTATAGGCCATTTAAAACACCCCCCCCCCCACCACTCCACCCCCTCTCATTAACTACTACCTTCAATCCTCTCCAACATTCACTCGCCCCTACCTTCAACCTTCCTCTTCCGATTTGAATGTCTTCATCCGGCCGTTTCAGCGTCCACAGTGAAAAAAACTATAAATTGACCTCACTTCATAGCAGATCAGCACTCCCACCTCTCATAAACCTTTCAACTCTCAGAAACCTTCCAATTGTTTACCTTATCGTTGTTCGAAATCTCTTCTGCTCTCAATCTCTTTCAGAATGGCTCAACTTGATCTTGTTGCAATCCCTTCCCAGGCTAACTACGCTACCTTTGATGAGTTACGTCTTGGTCGTTCAACCCAACAGGTTGTTGGTCGTCTCCTCCGTTTTTGGGATGCTCGCAACGTCAAGAAGAATGGCGAATTCATGGGAATCGTCTTCRTCCTCCTCGATGAGAAGGTAACACCTCCGACAAACTTTACCCATATCTTAATAGAAAGACTACACATTAACCATAATCTCTTCTTTCTTTGTTCTCCAGAACTCGGTGATCCACTG